GAATCAAAGAGATGGATCCATATGGGAGATCCTGCTGTAATCACAGGATGGATCCTGCTGGAATCAAAGGGATGGATCCAGATGGAATCACAAGGATGGATCCAGATGGGAGATCCTGCTGGAATCAAAGGGATGGATCCAGATGGAATCACAAGGATGGATCCAGATGGGAGATCCTACCGGAATCACAGGGATGGATCCTGCTGGAATCACAGGGACGGGCCCGGATGGGGGGGTCTGGATGCCAATGGCATCACAGGGCCAGACCCACACGGGACCTTCTGCTGCATTACAGGGGGGTCCCCCTGGGGTCCCAGAGAGCTGAGGAGCCTCCATCACCCCCAGACCACCCTCACCCCCACAGACCCTCGTCCCCCTGGGGTCCCAGAGAGCTGAGGAGCCTCCATCACCCCCAGACCACCCTCACCCCCACAGACCCTCGTGTCCTGGGGTCCCAGAGAGCTGAGGAGCCTCCATCACCCCCAGACCACCCTCACCCCCACAGACCCTCGTCCCCTCCGGCGGGGCCCTCACCCTCCTCTCTCTCTCTGTCCAGGCCAGTTCTACAGCAACGGCGGCCACTCCAACTCGGGCGGCGGCGGCGGCGGCGGCTCCTCGGGCTACGGCTCCTACTACCAGGGCGGGGACGGCTACACGGCCCCCGCGCCGCCCAAGCACGGCGGCAAGAAGCAGCAGCACGGCGGCGGCGGCGGCGGCGGCCAAAAGGCCTCGTACGGCTCCGGCTACGGCACCCACCAGGGCCAGCAGCCCTACGGGCAGGGCCAGTACGGCGGCTACGGCCCCGGGCAGGGCAAGCAGAAGGGCTACGGCCACGGCCAGGGCGGCTACTCCTACTCCAACTCCTACAACTCGCCCGGCGGCGGCTCCGACTACAACTACGAGAGCAAATACAGTGAGTGGAGAGGGGCGGCTGCGGGCGGGAGAGGTTCGGAGTTGAGGGTTGAGGTTGGGTTTGATCCCGGAGTTGGGTTAAAGGTGTTGGGAGGTTGTTTCTGCAGGGGAACCTGGTGACCCCTCTGGGCTGGGGCAGGCACCAGGGAGCTCCAGGGGGTTCTTCCTGCCCCTCCCAGGAGCTGGAGCTGCAAATAAGGGGAGGTTTGGGTTAAAAGAGGGGTTTGGGGCTGGAGCTGTGAATAAGGAGAGGTTTAGGTTAAAAGAGGGGTTTGGGGCGAATAAGGGGAGGTTTGGGTTAAAAGAGGGGTTTGGGGCTGGAGCTGTGAATAAGGGGAGATTTTGGGTTAAAAGAGGGATTTGGGGCAAATAAGGAGAGGTTTGGGCTAAAAGAGGGGTTTGGGGCTGGAGCTGTGAATATGGGGAGGTTTGGGCTAAAAGAGGGATTTGGGGCTGGAGCTGTGAATAAGGAGAGGTTTGGGTTAAAAGAGGGGTTTGGGGCTGGAGCTGGGATGAGTCTGACAGGGCTCTAGGACAGAGGGGCTGGGTGCCCAGCCCTGGGCACGTTCCTAGGGGATAATCCAAGGCTCAGAATGCCCCGGCAGGGTCAGACAAAGATCCCTCCACCCCAAATCCTCCTGGAATTCCAGGGTGGGGGCTTGGCTCAGTAGAACTGAGCACCCTGAGGGTGCTGGGGGTCCCCGCCCACCTCCTCATCCCCACGTTTTCCCCGCTCCCAGGTTACAGCGGCAGCAGCGGCCGCGGCGGCGGCGGCAACAACTACTCCGGGGGCGGCTCCTACAACTCGGGCTCCCACGGGGGCTACGGGGGCTCCGGCGGCGGGGGCTCCTCGTACCAAGGTAAGGCAGGTCAGTATTGACACCCCAGCATCGCCGGCGTCGCTTCGGGGCCCTGCTCCAGCTCCGCGCCCGCTCTAATTCCTCCCTTTTCTTCCTCCTCCTCCTCCTCCTCCTCCTCCTCAGGCGGATACTCCTCCCAGTCCAACTACAACTCCCCGGGTTCCCAGAACTACAGCGGCCCCCCCCAGCTCCTACCAGGCGTCGCAGGGCGGATACGGCAGGAACGAGCACAGCATGAGTTACCAGTACAGATAAACCCCCCCGTGGCCCCGCCGCGCTGCCCCCGGGCTCGATCCCCCCGGGGTTTTATCCCCTTCTCCCCCCCCCTCACCCCGTTGCTCTGTGTGACCCGTCACCCCTGGGCCTCTATTTAATGGGTCGTAGTTGCCACGACGACTTGGTCTAAATAGGATTATTATTATTATTTTTGGGGTTTTTTTTTTTGTTTTGTTTTGTTTTTCGTTTTTTTTTTGTTTTTTGTTTTTTGGGGTTTTTTTTTGGGGAAGTCGATCCAATTCCGGAGCCTTTTCCCAGGCCCCGGCTGGGGGACGGGCCCTCGTTGTTCTGCTTTTGTGAAGTGCGTTAAAAAGGAGCTTTTTTCGGTATTTTCTGGCTTTGGTGGTTTCAGTTTTTTTGGGGAAGGGGTCGGGGGTTGGGGGTTGAGGAGGTGAATAAACCCAAAATTTGGGATGGTTTGGGCTCCCAGTGCGTTCTGCACCTTCAAACCCCCACACTGGGAGGATTCTCATAAAAAACCAAACCTGAATTCCAAGTGTTTGGTCCCTTATACCCCTGAAGTTCAGAGTTCTGGGGCCAAACTGGGGCTGAACTGGGACCAAACTGGGGCTGAACTGGGGCCAAACTGGGGCTGAACTGAGGCTGAACTGAGGCTGAACTGAGGCTGAACTGGGGTTGAACTGAGACTGACCTGGGGTTGAACTGGGGCTGAACTGGGGTTGAACTGGGGTTCAAGTGGGGCTGAACTGGGGTTGAACTGGGGTTGAACTGGGGTTCAAGTGGGGCTGAACTGGGGCTGAACTGGGGCTGAACTGGAGGAACTCTGGGGCTGACCTGGGGTTGAACTGGGGCCTCGTGGCTCCTCTGGGTGAACTTTGTACCGCTGGTTCCGGATCGTTCCGTGCCAGAGTCAGACCCTGGGAAACACCGGGAACAATGCCTGGAATGGGGCACGGCCCCTCAAAAACCGGGAACGGCACCGGGAATGGGGCATGGCCTGGAAACACCGAGAACAGCACCGGGAATGGGGCACGGCCTGGAAACACCAGGAACAGCACCGGGAATGGGGCATGGCCTGGAAATGCTGGGAATGGCACCGGGAATGGAGCACGGCCCCTCAAACACCGGGAATGGCACCGGGAATGGGGCACAGCCCCTCAAATACCAGGAATGGCACCGGGAATGGGGCACGGCCTGGAAACACCGGGAACAGCACCTGGAGTGGGGCATGGCCCCTCAAACACCAGGAACAATGCCTGGAATGCAGCACAGCCTGGCAAACACTGGGAATGGCACCTGGAGTGTGGCATGGCCCCTCAAACACCGGGAACGATGCCTGGAATGCAGCACAGCCCGGGAAACACCGGGAACGGCACCTGGAGCAGGGCAGAGCCCCTCAAACCCCAGGAATGGCACCTGGAGTGGGGCACAGCCCCTCAAACACCAGGAACAGCACCTGGAATGCAGCACAGCCTGGCAAACACTGGGAATGGCACCTGGAGTGGGGCACGGCCTGGAAACACCAGGAACAGCACCTGGAATGTGGCAGAGCCCCTCAAACCCCAGGAATGGCACCTGGAGCAGGGCACAGCCCCTCAAACACTGGGAACAGCACCTGGAATGTGGCACAGCCTGGCAAACCCTGGGAATGGCACCTGGAGCAGGGCACAGCCCCTCAAACCCCAGGAATGGCACCTGGAACGTGGCACGGCCTGGCAAACCCTGGGAATGGCACCTGGAGCAGGGCACAGCCCCTCAAACCCCAGGAATGGCACCTGGAACGTGGCACGGCCCGGCAAACCCCGGGAACGCTGCCCAGAGCGAGGCACATTCCAGCGCCAGGGCCCCTTCCGGGCCCGGATCCGTCGGGATGGCGGCAGCAGCGCAGACGAGGCTCCGGCCCTTTTATTAAAAACCTTGGATATAAATTAACACGGCGTGGTGGATCCCAGATCCGGGCGGATCCCCAGATATCCAAACAGCAGCTCAGTGATTGGATGGAGCAGCTGCTCCAGGCTCAGAGGGACAGGAATGTCCTGGGGGGACCCCGAGGGACAGCGGCTGCTCCAGGAGATCCCAGTGACACCGGTTGGTCCCAGTGACTCTGGGAGATCCCAGTGACATCAGTGGATCCCAGTGACACCAGCGGATCCCAGTGACACCAGCGGATCCCAGTGGCACCAGTGGATCCCAGTTACAGCCAGTGGATCCCAGTGACACCGGTGGATCCCAGTGACAGCCAGTGGATCCCAATGACTCTGGGAGATCCCAGTGACAGGCAGTGGATCCCAGTCACACCCAGGAGCTCCCAGTGAATCAGTGGATCCCAGTTACAGTTAGTGGATCCCAGTGACACCGGTGGATCCCAGTGACTCTGGGAGATCCCAGTTACAGCCAGTGGATCCCAGTGATGGCAGTGGATCCCAGTTACATCAGTGGATCCCAGTGACACCCAGCAGCTCCCAGTGAATCAATGGATCCCAGTTACAGTCAGTGGATCCCAGTGGCACCCAGCGGCTCCCAGTGCCACCCAGCAGCTCCCAGTGCCGCCCAGGAGCTCCCAGTTACAGTCAGTGGATCCCGGTTACACCCAGCGGATCCCAGTGCCACCCAGCAGCTCCCAGTGAATCAATGGATCCCAGTTACAATCAGTGGATCCCAGTTACAATCAGTGGATCCCAGTTACAGTCAGCGGATCCCGGTTACAGTCAGTGGATCCCAGCGCCACCCAGCAGCTCCCAGTGAATCAATGGATCCCAGTTACAGTCAGTGGATCCCAGTGGCACCCAGGAGCTCTCAGTTACAGTCAGTGGATCCCGGTTACAGTCAGTGGATCCCAGTGACTTGGGGAGATCCCAGTTACAGTCAGTGGATCCCAGTGGCACCCAGGAGCTCCCAGTGAATCAATGGATCCCAGTTACAGTCAGTGGATCCCAGCGCCACCCAGCAGCTCCCAGCGCCACCCAGCAGCTCCCAGCGCCGGCCCCCGCCCTAGGGACACTGGATGGAGGCGTTGCGGAAGTGCGGCCACAGGCGGAGCAGCTCCTGGGGCCCGTAGTGGTGCACCATGACCAGCCTGGCGAAGCGGCAGCGCTCGTAGTCCAGCCGGTACATGGTGAAGGCTCCGGGCGGCGGCTCCGTCACCGGCACGCCCAGCGCGTGCAGGCAGATGCCCACGAAGGCGTCCTCCATGTTGATGACGGGCAGCGCCTGCGCCACGCGGAACACGCGCAGCGCCAGGTCCCCCGAGAGCACGTAGCCGGGCCCGCCGCAGTAGGGCGGGTAGGTGTCGTTGGGGTACACCTCGCGCGGCACGAACCACTTGTAGGCGCGGTTCCGCAGCGGGCCCGTGTGCCGGTACACGTAGCCCGTCACGAAATCCGTCCTGGGCGGCCGCAGCAGCCCCGCCAGGTACTCCAGGTTGAGGAAGACGTCGTGGTCGGCCTTCATCACGTAGCTGGCGTTGGGGCAGAAGCGGCTCACCCACTCGAGCCCCATGAGCGTCTTGAGCGTCAGGTTGTTGTAGGTGTCCAGGAAGTCCTGCTGCAGCAGGTCCCCGTGCAGCGCGTCCTCCTCCTCCAGCACGGGGCGCAGCTCGGCGCTGAACGCGGGGTGCACGCCCAGCAGGAAGAGCCGCAGCACCGCCAGCCCCGGCACGGCGCCCTCGTCGCCCCAGGTGCGGCGCACGGCGTCCCGCGCCGCCAGGTCCTCGGGGGACGTCACCACCAGCAGCACCAGGAACGGCGTCCGCTGCCGGCACTTGTCGGGGTGGTTGAGCAGGAAGCGGTACGGGTACGGGTACGGCGGCTGCAGCGGGTGCCGCGTGGGCCGCGCCGGCTCCGTGGCGTTGCCGGGGGGCGCCGTGGGGCGGCCGGGGGGCGCCGAGCGCCGGGCGTGCAGCGCCAGCAGCGCCAGGGCCGCGGCCGCGGGCAGCAGGAGCAGGCGGCAGCTCGGGGGCAGCTTCATGGTCGGCCTGGGGGCGGGAGGGAGAGGGGCTTGGGGTGGGAGCGGGAGACCCTGCACCGGGATCAGGCTAGCACCGGGATCCTGCTGGGATCCCAAAGCTGCTGGGCCCAAAATTGCTGGGATCCCAATGCTGCTTGCATCCCAGTGCTGCAGTGCCCAAATCCTGCTGGGATCCCAAAGCTGCTGGGCCCAAATCCTGCTGGGATCCCAATGCTGCTGGGCATCCCAATCCTGCTGGCACCGGGATCAGGCTGGCACCAGGATCCTGCTGGGATCCCAATCCTGCAGTGCCCCAAATCCTGCTGTGCATCCCAAAGCTGCTGGGATCCCAAAGCTGCTGGGATCCCCATCCTGCAGTGCCCAAATCCTGCTGGGATCCCAAAGCTGCAGTGCCCAAATCCTGCTGGGATCCCAAAGCTTCAGTGCCCCAAATCCTGCTGGGATCCCAAAGCTGCAGTGCCCAAATCCTGCTGGGATCCCAAAGCTGCTGGGATCCCAATCCTGCAGTGCCCCAAATCCTGCTGGGCATCCTAATCCTGCAGTGCCCAAATCCTGCTGGGATCCCAATGCTGCTTGGCCCAAATCCTGCTGGGATCCCCATCCTGCAGTGCCCAAATCCTGCTGGGATCCCAATCCTGCAGTGCCCAAATCCTGCAGTGCCCAAATCCTGCTGGGATCCCAATCCTGCAGTGCCCAAATCCTGCTGGGATCCCAAAGCTGCAGTGCCCAAATCCTGCTGGGATCCCAAAGCTGCAGTGCCCCAAATCGTGCTGGGATCCCAATGCTGCTGGGCCCAAATCCTGCTGGGATCCCAATGCTGCAGTGCCCAAATACTTCAGTGCCCCAAATCCTGCTGGGATCCCAAAGCTGCAGTGCCCAAATCCTGCTGGGATCCCAATCCTGCAGTGCCCCAAATCCTGCTGGGATCCCCATCCTGCAGTGCCCAAATCCTGCTGGGATCCCAAAGCTGCTGGGCCCAAATCCTGCTGGGATCCCAATGCTGCTGGGCATCCCAATCCTGCTGGCACCGGGATCAGGCTGGCACCAGGATCCTGCTGGGATCCCAATCCTGCAGTGCCCCAAATCCTGCTGTGCATCCCAAAGCTGCTGGGATCCCAAAGCTGCTGGGATCCCCATCCTGCAGTGCCCAAATCCTGCTGGGATCCCAAAGCTGCAGTGCCCAAATCCTGCTGGGATCCCAAAGCTTCAGTGCCCCAAATCCTGCTGGGATCCCAAAGCTGCAGTGCCCCAAATCCTGCTGGGATCCCAAAGCTGCAGTGCCCAAATCCTGCTGGGATCCCAAAGCTGCAGTGCCCAAATCCTGCTGGGATCCCCATCCTGCAGTGCCCAAATCCTGCTGGGATCCCAAAGCTGCAGTGCCCAAATCCTGCTGGGATCCCAAAGCTGCTGGGATCCCAATCCTGCAGTGCCCCAAATCCTGCTGGGCATCCTAATCCTGCAGTGCCCAAATCCTGCTGGGATCCCAATGCTGCTTGGCCCAAATCCTGCTGGGATCCCCATCCTGCAGTGCCCAAATCCTGCTGGGATCCCAATCCTGCAGTGCCCAAATCCTGCAGTGCCCAAATCCTGCTGGGATCCCAATCCTGCAGTGCCCAAATCCTGCTGGGATCCCAAAGCTGCAGTGCCCAAATCCTGCTGGGATCCCAAAGCTGCAGTGCCCCAAATCGTGCTGGGATCCCAATGCTGCTGGGCCCAAATCCTGCTGGGATCCCAATGCTGCAGTGCCCAAATACTTCAGTGCCCCAAATCCTGCTGGGATCCCAAAGCTGCAGTGCCCAAATCCTGCTGGGATCCCAATCCTGCAGTGCCCCAAATCCTGCTGGGATCCCCATCCTGCAGTGCCCAAATCCTGCTGGGATCCCAAAGCTGCAGTGCCCAAATCCTGCTGGGATCCCAAAGCTGCTGGGATCCCAATCCTGCAGTGCCCCAAATCCTGCTGGGCATCCTAATCCTGCAGTGCCCAAATCCTGCTGGGATCCCAATGCTGCTTGGCCCAAATCCTGCTGGGATCCCCATCCTGCAGTGCCCAAATCCTGCTGGGATCCCAATCCTGCAGTGCCCAAATCCTGCAGTGCCCAAATCCTGCTGGGATCCCAATCCTGCAGTGCCCAAATCCTGCTGGGATCCCAAAGCTGCAGTGCCCAAATCCTGCTGGGATCCCAAAGCTGCAGTGCCCCAAATCGTGCTGGGATCCCAATGCTGCTGGGCCCAAATCCTGCTGGGATCCCAAAGCTGCAGTGCCCAAATACTTCAGTGCCCAAATCCTGCTGGAATCCCAATCCTGCAGTGCCCCAAATCCTGCTGGGCATCCCAATGCTGCAGCACCCAAATCTTGGTGGGATCCTAAAGCTGCAGTGCCCAAGTCCTGCTGGGATCCCAAAGCTGCAGTGCCCCAAATCCTGCTGGGATCCCAATGCTGCTGGGCATCCCAAATCCTGGCATTCAAATCCCACCAGCACCAGGATCCCACTCCCTGAGCACCCCAATCCCACCCAGATCCAGCTCCCTGAGCATCCCAGGCCCACCAGCAACAGGATCCCACCGAGATCCTGCTCCCTGATATCCCAATCCCACCCAAATCCCACTCCCTGATATCCCAATCCCACCCAGATCCTGCTCTGAGCACCCCAATCCCACCCCAATCCCCTCCCTGAGCACCCCAATCCCACCCAGAGCCCCTGGCCGGGCGCCCACCTGGGGCTTCCTGGGTGCCCAAACCCCCCCTGCACCCCCGGGCCCCACCCTGACCCCCCCCATTCTGCTGGATCCCCAAAGTCCCTGGGTGCCCCCTCCCCACGCCAGGGTCCCCCAGCCCCTCCCTTTCAGGGATCCCCCCCTCCCTCTCCCATTCTGGAACCTTCCCTCTCCCCCTCCCCATTCTGGAACCTTCCCTCTCCCCCTCCCCATTCTGGAACCTTCCCTCTCCCCCTCCCCATTCCCAGTTTTCCCCTCTCCCCCTCCCCATTCCGGGTCCTGATAAGGCACCGGACGTGATAAGGGCCGGAGGCGCCGCCGGGGCCGCGCCAGTTCCACCAGTCAGACCAGTTTGGGGTCTGGGGGAGCCCTGGGGGTCCTGGGGCTGAGTCCAGCTCTGCCCAGTTCATCCCAGTTCACCCCTGGGCTTTCCCAGTTCCCCCCGGTTTTCCCGGGTGCCACCTTCAGCCCTTCCCAGTTCCCTCAGCCCTTCCCAGTGTGTCCCAGTGGCTCCCAGTTAACCCCAGGTGCCACGTTCAGCCCTTTCCAGTAACTCCCAGTGTGTCCCAGTGCCTCCCAGTAACTCCCAGTGTGTCCCAGTGCCTCCCAGTTAACCCCAGGTGCCACGTTCAGCCCTTCCCAGTGGCTCCCAGTAACTCCCAGTGTGTCCCAGTGGCTCCCAGTTAACCCCAGGTGCCACGTTCAGCCCTTTCCAGTAACTCCCAGTGGCTCCCAGTAACTCCCAGTGTGTCCCAGTGGCTCCCAGTTAACCCCAGGCGCTGCTCCCAGCCCTTCCCAGTGGCTCCCAGTAACTCCCAGTGCTCCCAGTCACTCCCAGTGGCTCCCAATTAATTCCAGGCACAGCTCCCAGTGCTCCCAGTAACTCCCAGTGTGTTCCAGTTGCTCTTGGTGGCTCCCAGTTAATTTCAGGCACTACTCCCAGTAACTCCCAGTATGTCCCAGTCACTCCCAGTGTGTCCCAGTGACTCCCAGTGTGTCCCAATCACTCCCAGTGTGTCCCAGTCACTCACAGTTGGCTCCAGGCACAGCTCCCAGTGCTCCCAGTGCCTCCCAGTGTGTCCCAGTCACTCCCAGTTAACTCCAGGCATAGCTCCCAGTGGTCCCAGTAACTCCCAGTGTGTCCCAGTCACTCCCAGTGTGTCCCAGTCGCTCCCAGTTAATTCCAGGCACAGTTCCCAGTGCTCCCAGTAACTCCCAGTATGTCCCAGTCACTCACAGTGTGTCCCAGTGGCTCCCAGTTAGCTCCAGGCACAGCTCCCAGTCACTCCCAGTGCTCCCAGTCACTCCCAGTGTGTCCCAGTGACTCCCAATTAACTCCAGGCACAGCTCCCAGTGCTCCCAGTAATTCCCAGTGTGTCCCAGTCATTCCCAGTATGTCCCAGTGGCTCCCAGTGTGTCCCAGTCACTCACAGTGTGTCCCAGTGGCTCCCAGTTGGCTCCAGGCACAGCTCCCAGTGACTCCCAGTAACTCCCAGTGGCTCCCAGTAACTCCCAGTGTGTCCCAGTGGCTCCCAGTTAACTCACAGTATGTCCCAGTGACTCCCAGTAACTCCCAGTCAATTCCAGGCACAGTTCCCAGTGCTCCCAGTGACTCCCAGTGACTCCCAGTGGCTCCCAGTTAGCTCCAGGCACAGCTCCCAGTGTGTCCCAGTAACTCCCAGTGGCTCCCAGTGGCTCCCAGTCACTCACAGTGCCTCCCAGTGACTCCCAGTTGGCTCCAGGCACAGCTCCCAGTGCTCCCAGTCACTCCCAGTATGTCCCAGTCACTCACAGTGTGTCCCAGTGACTCCCAGTTAACTCCAGGCACAGTTCCCAGTGCTCCCAGTCACTCACAGTGTGTCCCAGTGGCTCCCAGCGACTCCCAGTAACTCCCAGTGTGTCCCAGTGCCTCCCAGTGTGTCCCAGTCACTCACAGTGTGTCCCAGTGGCTCCCAGTGTGTCCCAGTCACTCACAGTGTGTCCCAGTCACTCCCAGTGTGTCCCAGTGCCTCCCAGTGTGTCCCAGTCACTCCCAGTGTGTCCCAGTGGCTCCCAGTGTGTCCCAGTCACTCACAGTGTGTCCCAGTGACTCCCAGTTAACTCCAGGCACAGTTCCCAGTGGCTCCCAGTAATTCCCAGTGTGTCCCAGTCACTCCCAGTGTGTCCCAGTGGCTCCCAGTGTGTCCCAGTCACTCACAGTGTGTCCCAGTCACTCACAGTGTGTCCCAGTCACTCCCAGTGGCTCCAGGCACAGCTCCCAGTGCTCCCAGTCCCCGCCCGCGCTGCCTCTGTGGCCGTGGTGCCCGGCAGGGGCAGAAATCTGAGGGCTCGGGTGACGCAGGTGCCACACCCAGCCCGGGCCACGCCCCCCGGGCCACACCCAGCCCTGCTCAAACTTCCTCCTGCGGCCACAGCACGGTGACACCGAGCAGGTGACACCGACCGGGGTCACCATGGAGACACAGGTGACACCGAGCAGGTGACACCGACCAGGGTTACCATGGAGACACAGGTGACACCGGGCAGGTGACACTGAACAGGGGTGACCATGGGGACACAGGTGACACCGAACAGGTGACACTGAACAGGTGTCACCATGGGGACACAGGTGCCACCACAAACAGGTGACACAGACCCCCAGGTGACACCATGGACCAGCCCCATTTAGGGCCCCCCCGGCCCCATTTCCCCCCCTTGGAGCCACATCAGCCATTTCCCTTCCAAACTCTTTTATTTCCCACCCCTTAAAAACCTGAAAATAGTAAAAAAAATTATCAAAAAAATGTATAAAAATACACAGGGGGAGAGGGGGGGAAAGGGGTTGGGAACTGAGGGGGTTCCCCAGGAATCCCAGGGGGTTCCCTTGGGATTTTGGGGGGGTTCCCCAGGATCCCAGGGGGTTCCCAGGGATCCATAGGGGGGTTCCCCTGGAATCAGGGGGGGCTCCCAGGAATCCCAGGGGGTTCCCAGGAATCCCAGGGGGTTCCCCTCAGCCCAGGGGGATCCCCACAGACTCCAGGGCCTCGCGAGCCCAGGCTGGGGGCCCCCCCCGGCCCCCGTACATGGTGTCCATGAAGTCCCGCACGAACTCGGGGAAGCGCTGCTGGATGATGCTGTCCCTGATGGAGCCCATCAGCTTCATCTGGGGGGGGGGGGACGGGGGTTAGAGGGGTGGGGAGACCCCCAGGACCCCCCCAGGACCCCCCCTTGCCCACCTGGTAGGCGATGTTGTGCAGGGTGAGCAGGTGCAGCGCGGCCGTGTTGGAGCGCAGCAGCGCGTGCAGGTACGCCCGGGAGTACCTGGGGGGGTAAAATGGGGAATTGGGGGGGGTCAGCCCCGCCTTGGGGACCCCCCCCTACCCCCCAACCAGAGCCCCCCGCCCACCTCTGGCAGGTGGGGCAGCCGCAGTCGGCGTCGATGGGCCGGAAATCCTTGGCGAATTGTTGGTTTTTGAGCTGCAGGGACCCCCAGGGCACCAGGGCGGAACCGAAACGCTGCAGGGGGGGTCGAGGTGGGTTATGGGGGTCCCCCAAACCCTGGGGAGGGGTCCCCAAACCCCCAGGGCCCCCCTTACCGCGGTGCGGGTGGGGAACACGCAGTCGAACATGTCGCAGCCCAGCGCCACGCACACCACCAGGTCCGTGGCGTAGCTGGGGGGGGGGCAAAGCGGGGGTGACTCCGGGGGTCTCCCCCAGCTCTGGGGGGGCTCTGAGGGGACCCCCGGACTCACCCCACGCCCATCAGGTAGCGGGGCTTGTCCCGGGGCAGGTGCTCCGTGCTCAGCTTCACCGTGCGCCAGAACTGAGCCTTGGCCTCGCCCCCGCTCAGGCCCCCGATGGCGAAACCGGGCACGTCCCGCTGGGTCATGGCTGCCAAGGGGACCCCAAATCAGCCCTGGAGCCCCAAAATCACTCCTGAACCTCCCCCCCGGGACCCCCAGATCCCCCTGAGCCAGTGAGCCCCAGTGTGAAATTGGGCACGTCCCGCTGGGTCATGGCTGCCAAGGGGACCCAAAATCACCCCTGGAGCCCCAAAATCACCCCTGAACCTCCCCCCGGGACCCCCAGATCCCCCTGGACTGCCCTGAGCCACCCTGAGCCCCAGTGTGAAACCGGGCACGTCCCGCTGGGTCATGGCTGCCAAGGGGACCCCAAATCACCCTGAACCCTCCCTGGGACCCCCCCCAAATCACCCCTGAACCCTCCCTTGGGACCACCGGAGCTCCCCCAGGCCCCCCTGAGCTGCCCCAGGACTCGCAGAGCCCCTCCCGAGCAGGGATGAGGGAGAGGACGGTGAGGAGGGCGAGGAAGGCCCAGGGATGACGGTGAGGACGATGAGGATGAGGAAGGCCCAGGGATGACGATGAGGACGGCGAGGATGATGAGGGTGAGGAAGGCCCAGGGATGAGGGTGAGGATGGCAAGGATGGCGAGGACGATGAGGGTGAGGAAGGCCTGGGGATGAGGGTGAGGATGATGAGGGTGAGGAAGGCCCACCTCGGATGCAGCGCAGGCGCAGGTCGGGGTCCAGCCCCCCCTGGATGATGGCGAAGAGCAGCTGCTGCTGGGGGCGGGCGTGGGCGGCGACGCAGCGATCGAGCCAGCGAATGGACCTGGGGGGACAGGGATGGGGGGTCCTGGGGGTCTGGGGGGTCTCAGGGGGGTCCCAGGACTGTCAAGGGGGTCCTAGGGGGTCTCAGGGGGGTCCCAGGACTGTCAAGAAGGTCCTAGGGGGTCTCAGGAGGATCACAGGGGTGTTGGAGGTGGTCTCAGAGGGGTCTAAAGAGGGTCAGGGGGGTCCCAAGGGAATCCCAGGGGGTCTCAGGGGGATGAGGAGAGCCAAGAGGGTCCCAGGAAGGTCAGGGGGTCCCAGGAAGGTCAGGAGGGTCCCGGGGGGTCCCAGGAAGGTCAGGGGGGTCCCCGGGGGTTCAGGGGAGTTCCAGGGGGTCTCAGGAGGGTCCGGGGGGGTCTCAGGGGGGTCCCGGGGGGTCCCAGGGGGTCTCAGGAGGGTCCCGGGGGGGTCTCACCTGTTCATGGCCTCCTCGACGCGCGGCCCCGTCGTGGTGCTGCTCACGACATCGTCCAACTGCATCACGATATCGGCCCCTGGGGGGGCAGGGGGGGTCACCCCCGTCCTTCACAGCCCCCTCGGGATTGGGGGGGTCCCACCCCCGGGATTTGGGGGGGATTTATCCCCCCCTGCTCACCCAGGGCGTTCTGGATCTCCATGGATTTCTCGGGGCTCAGCAGGATCTGATCCCCGCCGTGGGGGGGCTGGAACCGAACCCCCTCCTCCGACACCTCCGACAGCTCCAGCAGCGAAACCATCTGGAACCCCCCGCTGTCCTGGGGGCACCCCAAAACGGGCGCTGAGGGGGGAAAAGGAACCCAAAAACCCCCCAAAAAACCCAAAACACCCCGGGATTGGGGACAGGGGGTGCCAGGCCCCCCCCAGGCTCGGGGGGACACACCTGGGGGGTCCTGGGGGTGCCCCCCCGTCACTCAGGGCAGCTCTGGGGGTGCCGGCCCCCCAAATTTGGGGTCCCGGAGGGGTCCCGTGCCCACGCCCTCACCGTCAGCAGGTTGTGGGGCCAGTCCATGAAGCCGTGCAGGCCCCCGGCACGCCGGACCAGCTCCGAGCCCTGCGGGGACGGGAGAGAGCAGGGCTGGGAAGGCGGCGGGAGCGCGGGAACCGAGCGGGATCCTCCGGTAACCCCCGGTAACGGCGGGGGCTGCGCCGGAATCCCGCCGGGAACCCGCGGGGGGAGCGGCGACAGCTCCGATCTCACCCGGAATGTGAGAACTCAGGGCAGGGACGGCACGGGGTGAACCGCGGAGCCCCCCGGAGCCCCCCGGTGCCGCTCACCGGCCGCGTGCCCAGGTGGAAGGTGTTGCCCAGGCAGATGCGGCAGCCGAGCGCCGCCAGCTGCGCGGCCGTCAGGCCCTTGGCGGTGCCGCGGGTGCCCACGGGCATGAACACGGGGCAGGGCACGGAGCCGTGCGGCAGCCGCAGCTCCCCGGCCCGGGCGCGGCTCCGCCCGCACTCGGCCACGATCCGCAGCACCGGCACCGGCGCCGGGCCCGCCGCGGGCGCCGCCATCTTCGGAACACGTGACCGGAAGAGGCGTGGCGCGACCACCGGAAGTGACGGTTACCACGGCAACGCGGAGGCCATGTTGGGCCTTGTGGGGATGGGGAAGGTACCAGCTCGGAGATGCTCAAAGCTCCCCAGAGATCGCCCAAAGTCAACAGAAATTCAGCAGAGATCCCTCCCAACCCCGACATGGCGGGGAGCGGAGCCAATTCCTGATGGCTCTGGTCCCTGAGGGGTCCCCAGGCTGTTCCCCGGGGATTCCAGCCCCGGGGCTTCGCTTCCGGACTGTCGTTCCCCATGAGCGAACACACAGCGCTGGACGGTCACGGGAGGGCCGCGGAACACCGGGACACCAAAGGGCGAGAAGGACTCGCTGACTGACGGCCGGCTTATTCACTGCGAGAGGGTTTTCTGTTCCCTAGGCTTCCTCTCTCGCTTACATTGGCCAGCCCGCTCGGAGTCTAACGGAAGGGAGGGCGAGGAGGGAGAGCAGAGCGGGCTCCCGGGGCTGCGCTCCCGAGGGAAGCTCCGTCCGCCAATTCAATGGCGGAACCGGTGAGGGGCGGGACCGCATCCCCGCCGCCTCAGCTGACACAGCAGCGCTACCTCCCATTGGCTGTGAGCGATGAGCGACGGCCGAGAGACCAATAGAGAACAGGCTTGTCTTCCCGGTACCGCCCTTTTAGGTGATTGACAGCTCTCTGCTCCTATCCTCTCTGCGCGCTCCAGTGACGGGCAGCCCAGCCGGCCAATAGCGACGCGCGCTGCGGGAGCGGGGCGGGCGCGGCGGTGCCGGATGAGGAGACTCTGAGGGGAAGTTTGGCCGCCGCCGCCGCCGCGGGCCCCTGAGGAGGAGCCGCCGCCGGGAGCGCGGGCCCGGCACCGCCGCGCCGCCATGGGCAACCGGGGCATGGAGGAGCTCATCCCGCTGGTCAACAAGCTGCAGGACGCCTTCAGCTCCATCGGCCAGAGCTGCCACCTCGACCTGCCGCAGATCGCCGTGGTGGGCGGGCAGAGCGCCGGCAAGAGCTCGGTGCTCGAGAACTTCGTGGGCCGGTGAGCGGCGGCAGCGGCGGCGGCAGCGGCGGGGAGGGCGGCGGCGGCGGCGGGGCCGGGGCGGCGGGAGCGGCGGGCGGCGCCACGGGCGTACGGAGCGTTCGGGAATAGCGGCGGCGGCGTAAGGGTGCGGCCGGCGGGGCCGGGCCCGCGCTGCGCCAGCGGCGCACGGGCCGCGCAAACGGCGCAAGGGCCGCGCAAACGGCGCCGGGACCGGGACGGGGCTGGGACCGGGACGGGGGTGCCCTCCCGTTCCTCGGAGCGAGGCCGCGCCCGCCGGAACGCGGCACTAACGGGAGGGGCTCGGTGCGGGCCGGCCGCGCTCGGGGGAGCGGAACGGGAACGGGGCGGGGCGGGGCGGGGCGTACGGTAGTGGCGGGGAGGGGGGCTCGGGTCACGGCGGTCAATGGCGATGGCAGCGAGGGCAGCGGGGGCTGAGCAGGTCCCGGAAGGATCCCGGGCGTTCCGTGGGCGCTGCGGACTTCCCGGTTCTCGGTGCTGGGTGCCGGTTCCGTGCCCGGGGCAGCGGCACCGGACGGTGGCCGGGATTCCTCGGGAGTGCTGAGCTGTGTGCGCCTTCCTCCCCATCACCACCACCATCATCCTCGCGTTGGGGCTGCGCCCCGGAGATAGGAGCGGTGCTGGGATGGGCCCGGGAGCCGAGCGTGGCCGCGCCGATAACGGGAGCGGAGCTCGGCGGAGGGGTCACCCCAGAAAGGCACAAAAACCGCGCTGGGCAGCCCCGGCACAGCCCTGCCCCGGCCCTTCTCCGCCTTTGTGCGGATCCGCTGCTGTGCCCGGCCGGTTGCTGCCGCCTCCGCTGCCCCTCGGTGCGGGGCTGTCGCTTCCTCCGGCACCGGGGCAGCGGCAGAATCCTCCTAACCCCGGTGTGGCCCCATCCCGCTCTGCCCTCAGCCTCCGCATTCCCAAAATTCCCAACCACGCGGTTTTCCCGCTGCTTTGGACGTCCCTTCCTCCTTGAAAATGCCCCACCGGGAGCTCCAGTGGGGTTTTGCTTTCTGCACTGGATCCCTCCCCTCCTGGGGCGTTCCTCCCAAATCCAGCCTGGGATCCATCCCTTTTCCCTTCTGTCCCAGTGCAGGCCAAATTCCCAGCCTGGATTTGGGCTTTCCCAGCAGTCAGGGTGGAATGGTGGGGCTATTCCCCATCCTGGATTCCTGGCGATGGTGGGGTTATTCCCCATCCTGGATTCCTGGGGATGGTGGGGTTATTCCCCATCCTGGATTCCTGGCAATTCTGGCAGCCTCTAATTACAGCGCTGCTGGAAAACCATCCCTGTTAATTAAACCCCTTTGTGTCGCAGTCGGATCCATCCATCCGGGGATCCTTCCCCACCTCGTCGTGCAGCTCGTGCTAATTAGGGTTAATTACACCCCAGGGGTGTCCTTGGGAGTGGGAGGGTGAGGAATGCTGACCTGACCGTGTCCATCCCAGCTTTTAGGGGCAATTCTGGGGCTCCCACCCCGGCACGGCTGAACAGGGGCTGGGATTTTTCTCTCTGGATCACAAATTGCAGCTGGGATGAGCCGGGGCCTCGGGGCTGTTCCCTCTGTCCCAACGATCTGCACGGATCCATGGAGCCAGGCTTGGAAACTGCCCGTGGGGGGTTGTTCCTCTCGATTTCTGCCGCTCTTGGAGCTTTATCTCAGTTTTCCCGAGCCACCAGCAAGCCCTGGATCCGTGTTGGGAGTCCCTGGATCTGTGCTGGGAAGCCATGGTGCCGTTTCTGTGGGTTTCGTACCCTCAAAACACATGGGGAGATAATCCTGAGGTGCCCAAAATCCCTTGGAGAGACCTGGAATTGGGCTGGGAACCCTCTACATGCACGGCTGAGCCTCAGCGGGCTGGAATTCCTCCATGGGGAAGGGCCTGGCCTCACTGGGACACCCTTGAGGGGTTGAAATTGGTGCTGAGGGGCCTGGAGCGCCTCAGTCCCTGAATTCAGCGGGAGCAGCACCAAGGGAACGACCTGGGATCGTCACCAGGATTCTTTGTGGCCCCACCATCCCTCTTTGGAGCCTTGTGCCGGCCCTGCTCTGACAAATCCCTGTCCCAGCCCTTCCCGGAGCTGTCTCTGGCCTGGGGGACAATGGAGCCCTTGTCCCCCGGGGGTGGGGACAGTCCCTGACCTCAATGGGGCATTATGAGCCCAGGGGAAGGCTGGGGTTCACCCCGGGCTGGGGTTCACCCTGGGCTGGGGATCCTTGTCCTGCCTTGGGAGCATCCCCCAAAATCCCTCAGGGATCCCGGAGTGGGGCTGAGCCCCAGGGTTTGGGATCAGTGGGATTTGGGGACCTCAATGGGGCATTATGAGCCCAAGGAAAGGCTGGGGTTCACCCTGGGCTGGGGTTCACCTCGGGCTGGGGATCCTTATCCTGCCTCGGGAACATCACCCAAAATGCCTCAGAGTGGGGCTGATCCCAGGGTTTGGGATCAGTGGGATTTGGGGACCTCAGTGGGGCATTATGAGCCCAGGGGAAGGCTGGGGTTCACCCTGGGCTGGGGATCCTTATCCTGCCTTAGGAGCATCCCCCAAAATCTCTCAGAGTGGGGCTGATCCCAGGGTTTGGGATCAGTGGGGTTTGGGGACACAGGGAGAGCTGCATCCCATGGGGACAGGACAAGAGCAGTGACCCAGAGCTGAAGCCCATGGGGACAGGACAAGAGCAGTGACCCATCCTGAGGGATTGGCCACGAGGCTCCCGCAGCTCTGGTGGGGCTGGGGTAAATCCATCCAGGGGTAAATCCCTGGGATTTGCCTGGGTGGGAGCCGTGGCCAGAGGAATCCAGGGAATTCCCCCAGGAGTGGGGAGGGAATGGCTGGGAGCCAGGTGGGAGCAGCACGAGGTGTTTTGGAGACGTGGAAATGTGGACACATGCTCAGCTCGGGTGTTTCCCCAGGGATTTTCTCGGCGCTGGGGAGTTCCCACCGCACTCCTCCACCCCGAGACCTTTGTCCCTGTGTCCCTTTGTCCCTTTGTCCCCTCGCCGTCCCTGGTCACACCTGAGCCCAGGTGGGAGGCGGCGCAGGATCCGGGCAGTGACGTCCTGGGGCTCCTGCTCGCGTCACGGCCGGGCCCGGATCCTGCCCAGCCGGACACGGGAGGGACACGGGGACGTGGGGACACGGAGCTGGGTGGTGGCACTGCCACCGTGCCTGTGCTTCCTTCCTGGAGGCGCCTCCTTCCCCTCGGGGCCTGTCACCTCCAGCTCGGGGAGCCAGGAATCCTGGCGGGGGTGGGACAAGGAAACCACCTGGGTTAGACTGGGATAGGGGATGGGGCAAGGAAACCACCTGGGTTAGCCTGGGATAGGGGATGGGACAAGGGGGACACCTGGGTTAGCCTGGGATAGGGGCTGGGACAAGGGGGACACCTGGGTTAGACTGGGATAGGGGCTGGGACAAGGAAACCACCTGGGTTAGACTGGGATAGGGGCTGGGACAAGGGAACCACCTGGGTTAGCCTGGGATAGGGGCTGGGACAAGGGGGACACCTGGGTTAGACTGGGATAGGGGATGGGGCAAGGAAACCACCTGGGTTAGCCTGGGATAGGGGATGGGACAAGGGGGACACCTGGGTTTGCCTGGGATAGGGGCTGGGACAAGGAAACCACCTGGGTTAACCCGGGATAGGGGATGGGACAAGGGGATCACCTGGATTAGCCTGGGATAGGGGCTGGGGGTCACCTGGGTTAGACTGGGATAGGGGCTGGGACAAGGGGATCACCTGGGTTAGACTGGGATAGGGGATGGGACAAGGGGGACACCTGGGTTAGCCTGGGATAGGGGCTGGGGCAAGGAGGTCACCTCAGTTCAGGGCTGGGACAAGGGGATCACCTCATTTCCCCCAGGATTGGGGCTGGGACAAGGGGATCACCTGGATTACCCCAGGATCAGGGCTGGGACAAGGGGATCACCTGGATTCCTTCAGGATCAGGGCTGGGAACTGGG